CTCTGTGCTGTCTTCCTGGCTAGCTTTTCGCAGGTTTTCCGACATAGGACCATCCCCCTCCTCACACCCCGCTTTTCTTAGCCATCATGATTCTTTGATTTGTTTCGATGGTATATTTTTCTTGAAAGATGCCGGCAATTACGTTTTTTTAAAAGCAACCCAAGGAAAAGGATGCCATCAATAGTTTTGTCAATCAGTGGCTGCTGCTGCTGGCACGTGCTACTTCCGAGTGCTCTGCCGTTAAAAGTGTACGAAATATAGAGGGAATTTGATTCTATTTAGCTTTGAACTAAAATTTTCTCAGCATTTTACACCAATCAAAGATGTGCAAAAAAAAAAAGCGAATGAAAGAGAGATATTGCTGCTGTTGGTGCTGCTCTAGTCACAAAAAGAAGAGGAAAAGTACAAAAATTTATTGCAAATCGAATGATAATATATGGCGTACTGCAAAAAAAAAAAACGCAAAATTAATGACCTTAGAATTATGAGGCTATAATAAAGCAATAAATTATTAAAATTATAAAGTTATTATACTTCAGTGTACAAAAAATCCGCTGGCAAATATAGAGACTATTGAAATATGGACCTAAAATCAACAACATCTTCTGGCCGTATAGTGGTAACCTGAGCTGGAATTTTTGTCTAGAAAAATCAGCAGTGCTGGAAAACTACCTCGTATCTTCTGGCCGTATAATGGTAACCCGAGCTGGTACTTTTGCCTAGAAAAACCGCCAGCACTAGAAATTCCCATAAGAGATCTCACATGCAAACTCGTACAAGTTATGGATGTAATGCTGGAGCGCAAAGAAATCTATTAATAATTAAGACTATCACATAAGCACTGATGCAAGAAAATAAGTGTTGCACGCAGTATTCTTTTGGTTTTGAAATGCAAAAACACACAAAAAAAAATTAAAATCACAGGGAAAGATCAAGAAGATAAAAAAAAATGTGAAAATGCGACCTATTTCACAAAACCGAAAAAAAAAACGATTGAACTGAGTAGCTTTCCATTAAAGCTCATCGGATTGTTTCTTTGACTCACGCATTACTTCATCCAAAGTCTTCATATCCCGATCATCATCACGTTTATCCTTTGTTTTATCAGAATCTTCTTCCTTTGGAGCACTCAGATTTTCAGGCAAAGGCGTTACATCGACAGCAGTACATAATTCTATAACCACAGAGACGTTATAATTATCTTGAAAATACGATCTGCCTCCTTTTTGGTCAGGAATTGGAATATCTGCACCAGAACCTAAGCAAAAAGCCCAACTTCCATTAAAGCCAATACAGTGCAAAAGAAGAAAATACGCTAACATAAGTTACGTAGTTACCAGTTCAGAACCCAAACGAAAAAGCCCTATAACCCCGGCAATTCCCCCATTGTCTGTAGCCTGATAACTTGGAACCACTGCGAATTTTTTGACAATCAAATAAAGAATCTCTTATTTTCCGACCGAATTGAGGCAAAAAAAAAGTTCACGACTCTTAGGAACAAGCAAAAAACCCAATAAAACTAACTTATCCTTTCGTGGCAGAACTCGCGCACC